CACACACACACACACACACACACACACATAAATAAATAAAAATTTAAAAAATACTAAAAAAAAAAATTAAAAAAAAAGAACTTTTCTTTATAAATTGCTCAATCTCAAGATGGTCTAAGACCAATACCATTCCTGCTCACTATGATGACTATAATAAACCCAAACCAATAATGTGTTGGTGAGGATGTGGAGAAGTTGTACATGCACTGCTAACAGGAATGTAAATAGTGTAGGTCCTTTGCAAAATCTAAATCTGGAAATTTTTCATAAGGTTGAAAACATAGTTACTAAATGCCCCAGAACCTCTTCTAGGTATATACCCGAAAGAATTGAAAACATAGATCCACATAGAAAAATGGTATAAACATGCCTGTAGAAGCATCTTTCCAAGTGAGAACAACCAAAATGTCTACTGATAATTTATAAATTAATAGTGTCTATCCATATATTAGAATATCATTGACCCTTAAGGAATGAAGTAGTACTTATGTAGTAAAACATGAATTAAACTTTCAAAACCTTAAGCTCAGTTCAAGAAAACAGACACAAAAGGCCACATAATGCATACATACAATAATCCTAGTAGGCAAATCTACAGAGATGGGAAGTAGATTGGTGGTTGCCAGCAGGTAAGAAGACAGGAAATATGCTGATTGGTATAAGATTTATTTGAGGGAGTAATGAAAATGTTTTAGAATTACATAGTGGTTGGTGATGAATGTAGAACTGTGGGATGTAGGTATGCTAAAAGTCACTTTATTGTAACTTATAAATGGTAACTTGTATGATATATAAGTGATATCCCAATATAAATACAGATAAATAAGCAAGATCAAGTGTTTCTTGGTCCAGGATAAGATCCAGTTTATTACCGGCTGACTGTAGATGTGTCTAATTATTCTGATGTTATCCAACTAGTGACGCTCCTTTACAAGTGGGAAAGTTGCTTTTCAAAAAGTTTATACTGAATGGTACATATTTGTTTATACTGCTCTGATATATAGTAGAGAATGTTTTCAGCCATACCACCCTGGATTTCATCTGATCTCAGAAGCTAAGCAGGGTTAGGCTTGGTTAGTACTTGGATGGGAATGTCTATAAATCATTTTTGCACTGGATATGATGGTGTTTGGCTGTAATCTCAGCACTTAGGAGGCAAAGGCAGTAGGACTGCTATGAGTTTGAGGCCAGCTTGTGGAACTACATGATTAATTCAAGGCCACCCTGAACAATATGTAAAAACCTTGTCTAAAAAAAAAAAAAAAGAAAGAAAGAAAGAAAGAAAGAAGAAAGAAAGAGGGCTGGGAAGATGGCTCAGTGGTATAAGGACCTGCCTGGCAAATGCAAGGTCCTGAGTTCCTGGTACCGAAGAAAACAAAAAACAAACAAACAAACAAAAACATTGGTCCAGGAGCATAACTCAGCAACATGAGCAGCTGCCTGGCAAGCACAAGGTCCTGAGTTCAATCCCTGGTACCACACACACACACAAAAGATTTTGATTCAAAATAGTATGATAGGGCTGGTGAGATGGCTCAGTGGTCTAAAGCACCTTCTTAAAAGAAGCTTAGCAAAGCACAGGGACCGCGGTTCAATCCCCCAGCATCACATGCCAGCCAGCCCCGCCCCCTGGTGGGCTGAGCTGGCCACACACCAATAAATAAATAAAATAAATACATTAAAAAAAAATAGTATGATAACCCTAAAGTTTCTGGAAATTAGTGTAAATTATTCAAATCTCACTTGCACCATAACGTGTAAATTAATAATATATAATTTGCATTACAACGTGCAACTTAAATCTCACTTGTATGAAAACATTCATATTCAAATTTCACTTGTGTGAAAGATAATGTCTCCCATTCTTCTGTCAGTTGTGGGCTGGTTTGCAATCTGTTCATCCAAGTCCTGGTGAATTCGAGGTTTGGGGCTTTTTTCCGGAAGCTGCCTCTGATGGACAGAATCAGTTTTACAAGTTGTCGCAGCAAAGGTGACTGGGACTTTCAGATGCAAATGCAAAGTGAAATAGGAGGCAACTCAGCTGACTGGTGACCTGCGCCACGCGCCTAATGGAAGGAGGTGGGCCAGTCTGGGGACTAGGAAACAAACAAACAACAAGCGACCTAACGGCTGGGTTGGAAGACTGGGTATGTTTCTGGGCGGAAGAAGTGCCAGTGAAGGAGAACCCAGAGGGCAGCCGCCAGAGAAGAAAAAAATGCAAGTTTTACTAGTGTGCGCTTCGGGCCGGGGGCTCCTGTCTATCTGAGATGCACACTCCCTACACAACAACCTGAAATACCAAAGTGACCATCCTGCTTTTCTCTCCTTCCTGCTGTTTCTGGTTCCTGACCTCCGTCCACCTTCCAGCCCAACAGCCAGCTCCAGCGTTCTCGCGCCTACCACACTTCTGCGTAGGTTTGGCCGCGCCCAGCCGCCGTCCCGCATCCTGCGCACGCGCAGAGCGAGCTGGGAGGAAGGTGAAGATGGCGGGAGCCTGGGCCCTGGCTCGGGGTTTCCGGTGGCTGCAAAGCACAGCTCGGCAGGCGGTGCCGCTGGGGGCACGGACAGGTCCGCGGGGATGAGAGAGGCGTCACTGTGGGAAGGGAGGCTTAAGTTTAATGTGTGTGTGGGTGGGTGGATAGCGGAGCCAGCAGCGGCCGTATTCCGGCGGGGCCAGGAGCGGTGAAAGGTCGCGCCGGCCAGGCACAGTCCTGGGACTTGCAGCCCCGAAGCGTTAAGCCTTCCGGGCACCTGGAGAGCAGGGACCGTCTGACCTGCTCTCTTGTGCGCCGCAGCCTCCCACATTACCAAGGACATGCTACCGGGCGCCTACCCCAGGACCCCAGAGGAACGGGCAGCCGCCGCCAAGAAGTATAATATGCGTGTGGAAGACTACGAGCCTTACCCGGATGAGGGCATGGGGTGAGGTAGAAAGGGTCCGCGCGCCGCCCGGGTGGTGATGAGCGGCGCCCCCTGCCGGGGAGCGGGGGGACGTTCGGTTCTGACCCTTTCCCCCGAGTCTCGACTCGGACTCCTGGGTGTGGGTGGGTGGGTGGGTGGGTGGGCAGCTGCAGCCTAGAGGACTTCAATTTTCTCTTTGGCTCGGGTTGTTGTTTCTCAAATGAGGAAGCCGGGGTTGTAATGGCTCCCGCGAGGACTTCCAAATAGCAGGAACCTTCCTTGGGTCCGGGCAGAGAGCTGCGTTTCCTTTAGATTGAGCATCTGCTGGGCTCAGGTGCGCCCATCCAAACATGTGACCAGGGTGGACCTGGACTTTTGTCAGGAGAGTCCTATTTGTAGATGGAGTAGTCGTATGTCTCCCTCTAATTCCACCCCTTTGTGTTACGGCTGTGGAAGTTGTAGTAACTGTTTAGGTAGACTGGACAGCTAACCCCATTCTCCAGTTGATGTTATCCTCCCATAGCCCCTAACACACTGGTAGTTGCTTATGTGTAGTGATTACCATCACTTTCCTATCCTAGCATTGTTCTTTCTGTCTTGTATTCTCGTTTTTTATCATTTCCTGTGACACGTCTAGTTGTCATCGTTTCTTTTTTTCCCTTAACTATTTCAGGCAGGAGCAGCCTTGAGAACACCGAGCTAGGCAAGAGGTCCCATGAGGTGTCTGATGCATAGAGATGTAGGACAGAATCTCACTATCTAGCTTAGGTTGGTCTGAACTCACGGTCTTCCTCCCTGAACTTCCCAAGTCAGCAGAAAAGCTTGTATGCGGTAATGTTTGAGTTTGACATGACCTGTTAATTACAGCATGGTTAGTTCTGTGATTAGTGACTAGAGCTTGAGATCTCAAGAGTCAGCTCCTCTGTTCTTAGGTGGAGCAGTTATAGCTGTTACCTGATTTCTTATTGCTGAGATGAGGCTCTGCGTTGTCTGACACTGCTCACAGAATTTCAGAGTTTTTTGCTGTTCTTCAGGTATGGAGACTACCCAAAGCTGCCTGACCGTTCACAGCATGAGAGGGATCCATGGTATGAATGGGACCACCCAGACCTGAGGTTGAACTGGGGTGAACCGGTGAGAAAACGAACTCATTTAACCTTTTCTCGCTCCTACTTGCTGTGTATTTCTGAGATCTTTTTAGCCGAAATGGCACTTCTCTGTCCAAGTAACACTATAAACTTTTCTGCTCAGAGATGCAAGGTCAGGGCCAGAGATGCAACTCAGTGGCCCAGTCTGGCAAGGCCTAGTAACCTGAGACTTGAGATTCCATACGGAGCACATGAAATGGGATGTCTGGGAATAACTAAAGCTCCACATTGTTGAAATTATATACTTTGTGATGGTGCTGGTGAGCAGAGCCTACCTAGAAGCCAGCACTGAGCCATGTGTTTGTTTGTTTCTTTTTTCTTTCTGTATTTTAGGGAACAGTCTACAGGGTGTTCAGGGTCTCACTACTAGATTGGATTCATAGTGATTCTCCCATTTACAGCCTCCCAAGTTCTGGGATTGCAGGCCTGCGCCACCACACCCAGTCTCCAGCTGTGTGTTTCAGATCAGCACTGTTAGGCAGTAGAATGCTGCCCACCCTTGCATCAGGCTCTGGTTACACAGGGCTGCCTGCTTGGCTTTCATAGGAAGAGCGTTTTGTGACACTTACCTGCCTTTCTGCTTCAGATTCACTGGCATCTAGACATGTATATCCGGAACCGTGTAGACACATCTCCCACACCTGTTTCTTGGCATATCATGCGTAACCATCTCTTCAGCTTCGTGGCATTCATGCTTTTTATGTTCTGGGTAGGGGAGATGTACCCCAGCTACCAGCCTGTGGTAAGTATCTGAGATGTGCTACTCTATGCACATTTGTTTACCCACTTTTCTGGGGACATTAAATTTCTGGGATAGGGAACTAGTCAGTACTAAGCCTAGCTTCCAGAAATGGTAGAAGGTAGGCAAAGAGAAAGACTTTTTCCGTTGGCTTGACGTATGTATCAGAATACTGTTCTGCCCCTACTTGGACCAGTCTAAGTAAGAAGACACACTTTAGGACCAGGTGAAGAATTAGAATGTGGAAGCCAGCTACTCTGAGAGTTCCCGTTTGAGGATTATACTTAGCTGCTGTATGTCAAGGAGTGATCTTTTAAGGTAGAGTCAAGCAATCTAGAGCCAAAGTCTTATCCTGTTGGATATGTGAAGGATACTTTCTGTAGGTAATGGAAGCAAATTAAGCATCTGTTGTAAGCTTGGTTATAGTTTGTAGAGTTGGGTTTTTTTTTTATTCAGTATCAGACTGAACTCAGGACTTTGCGCCTGCAGGCAGGTGCACCTGTATCCCTGCCCCAAGCTTGGTTATATTTTGGACAATGCAAAAGACATAGAAAATATACTCTAGTGTTAAAGAAACTTAAGGGCTGGTGAGATGGCTCAGTGGTCTAAATCACCTCCTTAGAACAAGCTAAGCTAAGCAAAAGCAGAGGCCGCAGTTCAATCCCCAGCACCACATGCCAGCCAGACCCGCCCCCTGGTGGGCTGAGCTGGCCACACACACACTAAATAAATAAATAAAGTTATAAAAAAAAATTTAAAAAAAAAAAAGAAACTTAAGAAAACTTAGTTAAATGATATGCACAACATGTAAAGAGCCGTGTAATGTGTATATATTTCTGTAGTGAATGTATATGCAAAGTGGAATGAGTTGCTGTCAGAAAGAGCTAATACTAGATGCTAAAAATAGCATTTGGGTGGTGAAACTGGATAAAACAGGGTAAGGGAAAAGGAGACTGATACAGTAAAAGTGGAACAGGTATATTAAATAGTGCCTAGATAATCGGCTGCATTGTTTTTCTAAAGAGCTGCTAAAAAGTTCAAATTCCTAGGCTGTACTTTGTAGAGGTCTTAACTCAGTAGCTCTATGACAGAATTTTGGGATCAGTATTTTCAACAGTACTCCAGGTAATTGTGATGTGCATCTAAACTTCAGTGTTACTGTGTAAAAAAAGTTTTACGAGGTGAGTTGATCTAGTTAGCTGAGGTAGTTATTGTAAGCTGAGGAATTTGAATGTGGGAGTAAAGTAATAATTTAATACACATTTACACAGCCACTCAGACTGTACTCTGACCATGCTCGGGATCCATGGTGGGTGCAGTGATGACTTGGTCAGCCTTCCGTAGCAAAGAGCCATTGTTAGTATTTGAACAGGAGGGGCTGGAGAGATGGCTCAGTGGTCTAAAGCACCTACTTGGAACAAGCTTGGCTAAAGCACAGGGACTGCGGTTCGATCCCCCAGCACCACATGCCAGCCAGCTGCGCCCCCTGGTGGGCTGAGCTGGCCACACACACACACACACACACACACACACACTAAATAAATGTTAAAATAAATAAAAAAATTTGAAAAAAAAATGACAAATATTAAAAAAAAAAAAAGTATTTGAACAGGAGAGTAATGGGATGAAGCTTAGGTTCTTAGAAAATGAATCTAGGGACTGTCTCTAGGACGGATTGGAAGGAGTGGGGCTGAAGGCAGGAAGGCTGCTGTGCTTGCAGTTGGCTACCCAGCACCACCTCTGCAGAATCATGTCCCAGAGGTGGCTGGTATGTCTGTGTGCACTGACACGAGCCTTCTTGCCAAGCCACAGGGCCGCCTTGCAGAAGAGCGCACATCGGGCTGGGGTGAGCACTAACCTCACTTCAGGAGCGCAGGACACAGTGTGGCTCTTCATTTTTCAGTTCTATAAGCATATCACCCTTTTCTTCTCCCCTTGAGCTGTGTTCTTTGACAGCTGTTTGTTGGTAAAGCCAGCCGCCCCTGAAGCACGTCCCAGTCCTGTCTCTGTGCTTCCCCCCACTGCTGCTCCTGCATGCCTCATTTGCTAGGCCACTTTAGTGGTGGAACCATTAGAGGCTGAGTGACTTAAAGGAGATTGAGTCTGTCTCGACCCCGAGAGAGAATGGAATGGATGGATGCGCCGTCTCATTTAGAAAGCTTTGACTCTGATTCTTTCTCCCCCCGCCCCTCGTGCCCAGCTCTCCCTCACTGTGCACACACCACTTCCATTGCAATTTAGGCTTTTTCTCTGCCTTGGGCTGAGTTGGGGAGAGAAATGCTTCTCCTGCTGTTTTAGCCCAGTCAGGGCTGACCAGAGGCTACTGTGTACCCATTTCCCATGCTTGATTGTTAACTCAGAGTAGAGTGTAGCCAGGATTTGGATGACTGTGTTGTTCTTGCTGACCTGTGTGTTTTTCCTCAGGGGCCAAAGCAGTATCCTTATAATAATCTGTACCTGGAACGAGGTGGTGATCCCAGCAAAGAACCTCAGCCAGTGGTTCACTATGAGATCTGAGGTTTTTTGGACCGTTGTGCCCTTGAACAAAGGCTCCTCATTCCTAGAAATTTAACCTTAATGAAATGCTGAATAAAACTTAGTGATCTGGTGTCTGTGCTTCATTTTCACAAGAATAGTCACTTCTGTTAGAGCCCCTCCCCCATCTACTGCCTCCCCTTCTGCCTGCTCTGTCAGTGTTAGTAGAAGGATGGGGTATTAAGCATAAGAAGCTGTTAAGTTCACTGGGACTGGGAGGTGACGCAGTTCTGGTTGTGTAGCAGGTGCTAAACATTACTCCTCCTATCTGCAGGATCAAAGGAGACAGTCTTCCTACCTTCAGTTGGAATGAGATTTATTTCCTATTTTTTTAAACAAAACTGTCAGGTGTAGTAGTACGTGCCTGTAATCGCAGCACTTAGAAGGCTGAGGCAGGAGGACTGCTGAGTTCAAGGCTGCACAGTGAGTCCCTGTCTTTTAAAAAACAAACCAAAAATCCCACTTTTGGGAGAGTGGGGGTCTTTTTGATAGTGTTTCACTATGCAGTTCAGAGTAGCCTTGAATTCGCTTTATAGCTCAGGCTGGCTAGCTTTGAACTTGAGCAATCTTCCTGTCTCAGACTCATGCTTGTGGGGATTATAGGTATGTACCCTCCCCCCCACCACCACTTTTTCCCCCCCTTGAACTCACTACAAAACCCAGGCTGGCCATGAACTGGTGGTGACCCTCCTAAGCACAGGATTACAGGTGTGTACCACCCCACCTGGCACTGATATTTAGCAAATGTGTGTAAAACAGACAAGGGCTGGGAAGATAGCTCAGTGGTCCAGGTGCCTACCTGGCAAGTGCAGGGACCTGGGTTCAATCCCTGGTGCTACATGCTGTACCAGCCCCATGCCAAGCCTGCCACTGAAAGGTGGCGTGGTGGTGAACACCTGTAATCCTGGTGCTCAGGAGGCTGAGACAGGAACATCACTGAGTGAGCTGCACAGTGAGACCCTGTGCAAAATATTTCATATATAGATATATGTATACACACATACATGTATAAATTATGCCCTGGGAATATAAAATTGTCTAGTACTTAGGAGAGTAGTTCAACAATTGTGAAAAGAATGAGATGTGCCAAATAAGGAGGATACGCTTTTGTTAAATCCCGTCTTATTTGAAACAGCCCTGTCTTTCAAATTTCTTTTGAAGTACTCAACCAGTGGCTTTTGTGCCTCATTTCCTGATTCTTTTTTTGTTTTGTTCGGGTTTTTGTTGCATGGTTTTTTTTTTTGGCTGAACCGGGGATTGAACTCAGATCCCTGCGTTTGCCAGTCAAGTGCTTATCCTACTGAGCCATCTCCCTGGCCCCTTCATTCCCTGATTCTGCATACTGCCGCAGGTTGTTTTTAATCCTGCTTGTCTTTTCTCAGGTTTCAGCCACCTGGGTTGAGTTGAAGAAGTGCTTGTTGTGGGCTCAGTAGGTAAAAATGGTGGCTTGGGCAAGGACAGTGCTGTAGTGTGCTGTGCCTGACCTCGAACTCCCAAAAGGCACTCCAGAGTTGTCAGGATGAGATGGGCCCAACTTTCAGGTAACCAGGTATCAACTGGCATCAAATCAGGCAGGATTACAGTGTGCTGTGTTCATGCATGAGATGGAACTTCTGGACCTTTAGATACAAGGTCTTCGGCTGTTCATAAGACATGAATTTGGAAATACCATAGTGGCCTCAATGTAAAAAGAGTGATATTTTCGCATGCCCTACCCACATCCTCAAGTTCTCTAGCTCCATCAGTAGCACTGGTATTTTTTTAGTCCACCTTGAAGGCCCTAATAATCTTGAATGCCTTACCTTTATTAGTCAACATGCAGCTCTTGCTCATAATCACAGTTGTTTTTTGTTTTTGTTTTTTTTTGTATTTTAGGGAAGAGTCTGCAGGGTGTCCAGGGTCTTTCATTGCCTGGTGCCTGCATTGTTTTATTTATTTTTTTTTTAAACATTTATTTATTTATTTGTGTGTGTGTGTGTGTGTGTGTGTGAGTGTGCGGCCAGCTCAGCCCACCAGGGGTCAGGGCTGGCTGGCATGTGGTGCTGGGGGATTGAACCGCGGTCCCTGTGCATTGCCAAGCTTGTTTCAAGTAGGTGCTTTAGACCACTG